GTTTCTTTCAATGAATCATATTGTAGAATCAATTGGACGAATCATCTGAAACATGGGGATGCAGCGACCATGTCCACCCCAATAGAGGATAGTATGCAGCTTCAGTTGTGCCGGCTTTTTAACATGCATTGACCATCACGCGTGTGCGAGCGCGCGCCGTTTCAACCAAATCGGCCCTACCCAAGCTGAACAAGCTACCACTGTCAGCCATTCTGTCAGCTCAGTGAGGATATGGCCAAGCCAAGTACTCCCTCTCAACAACAGTGTGCCCTTCTTGTTCGGCTGTGATCCAGCCCGGGTTGCTCTGAGTGGTCAGTGTTTAAAATGTCCTAGGGTGGTGCTCGGTTGGCCCTTGCAGCACTCTCTTTCTACCGCGCCAAAGCCTGGCGTAGAGGCCTGAAGACCTCACCATGCGTCTTGGTTCCCTCATGGGCCTGGGGAGAACAGGAGCGCCTTAGACTTTGCACCAAAGGGGCGACGGTTGGGTTCATACACCCGTTTGGGCTCCAGTCGTACCTCCTCAGGTTCGGTATGACTGGACCCCCTAAACCCACCCCCAACACCTTAGAAGGTACTTGGAGCCCTAGGGACAATAAACCCTCGCTGCTGAGCATCCAGCCATTCGGCCTGAGACAAGAAATCAGTGATTGCGGAGGCTCTAAAATAGAAACTTATCTTGTTGGACTGTTATCTTGGCGAGGGGATGCCCAAAAAGCAGATGGACTGCCTCAAGCCTTGGAAAGACTTGAGGACTTGAGCTGAGACGCTCAGGCGCTGTGCTCAGCTGCCAGCTGTGGAAGCTTCTCTCCTGCATGGATGGCATGACTGACTTGAAGTTCTTGAAATGACAAACTTCAAGCTTGTAACTCAACTCAGGTGCTGTTCATCAACCTGTTCTCTTGGTAGTCTGAGTTGTTAAGTTGCTTGGGGACCGTCGTTCGTTGTTTCGGGGGAATTAGCGCAGAAGAAGTGTTTTTGACCCTTGCGGACCTCTGAAGAATTGGCTGTTCAGAACTAAGAGAGGGTATAAAACACGTCTTGTTTTTTTGCGCTGTTAGTGGCAACATACGAGACCCAAAGGACTATTTCATAGGTTTGTTTGTCTCGTGAGTGGTGAGTGAACGGCCATGGTAAAAGCTTTGTAGACGTTGTAAACCTTTGTAAATTTGTTTGTAATTCAACAACTCTGTCAACTCTTTGCAAAAGTTGCAAACTTTGTACAAATTCTTAAGACTTTGTGAAAGGTTTGTAAGCGTTGTATAACTTTGTAAATATAAAGCTTTGTAAACGTTCTAAAAACTGTGTAAAACGTTGCGCTAACTTTGAAGAATAATTTGAAGAACTCCAAAACTTCGTAAAAGGTTGGTAAACCTTTTTACAAAGTTTGCGAATTTTACAACGTCTTAATAAAGTTTTACCAAGTTCTTACAAAGTTTTACAAGTTTAAAGGTTGACAAAGCTTACAAAGTTTGACAAAGTTTAAAAGTGTTTTACAAAGTCTACAAAGTGTTGACAAAGTTTACCAAGTTTATACCAAGTTCACTACGTTTTTACAAAGCTTTCAAAGTTGGTACAAAGTTTATAAAGTTTACACAGATTTTATGAAGTTTGCAAAGTTTTACAACCGCTTACCAAGTTTACAAAGTCTTACAAAGTTTACAATATTTTAACACAGTTTACAAAGTTTTGAACAATTTCCAATTTTTACCCAGTTTACAAAGGTTTTACAATGTTGCTGCAATGTTGACAAAGTTTTTACAAAGTTTACACAGTTTTGCAAAGTATTGAAAGTTTACAAACCTTGTACAAAGTTTATAAAATGTTTTACAAAGATTGCACATTTTACAATTTTTACATGGCGTCTTTACAAAGTGTACAAACATTTGCAAATTTTACACAGTATTTACATAGTTTACAAAGCTTTCACAAATTTTGCAAAGTTTATACAGTTTACACAGTTTTTGCACAGTATTGAAAGTTTACAACGATTTTACAAAGCTTTGGAATTTGACAAAGTTCTTGCAAAGTTCGGAATTTACACAGTTTTTTCAATTTTTACAGAGTCTATCTACAAAGTCTCACAAAGTGTTTACAACATTTTCCAAGTTTTTACAAAGTTTACAAAGTTGTACAACGTTTTTACAAAGTTTACAACAGCTTTTTCAAGTTTACAAAGTTTTTACAAAGTTTACAAAGTTTTTACAAAGTTTACACAAGTTTTTCAAGTTTACAAAGTTTTTACACAGTTTACAAGGTTTTTACAAAGTTTTTACAAAGTTTACAAAGTTTTTACAAAGTTTGCCAATGGCTGGTGAAAAACACTTGTGTTTACAACAAATGACATGAAAAACACTTCTTTTTAAGCAAAAAATCGTGCAAAAACACTTCTTTCACAGAACTTTACAAAGTTTTACAAAGTTTTTTACAAAGTTTACATCGTTTACACAGTTTTTACAAAGTTTTTACAAAGTTTACAACGTTCTGACAAAGTTTGCGACATTTGCCTTTTGTTACGCAAATTTACAAAGTTTTTACAAAGTTTTGGAAAGTTTACAAAGATTTTGCCAAGATTACGAAGTCTTGCAAAGTTTACAGAGTTTCGACAAAGTGTACAAAGTTTTGACAACGAGTTTTGCTAGTTTATTTATTTGCAAAGTTTACAAAGTTTCTTTCTACATTTTACAAAGTTTTTACAAAGTTTGTACAGTTTCACAATTTGTACAAAGTTTTTAGGAAATTTGCAAAGTGTTCAAAGTTTACAAAGTTTTCACAACGTTCACAAGGTCTTTCAACATGTTTACAATGTTTTGACAAAGTTTACGACGTTTAAAAACGTTTTACAAAGTTTGCAAAGTGTTACGAAGTCTATAACGTCTTTTTTAAATAGAGTTTACGAAGGCCTACAACATCTAAAAGTTGTTTACAAAGTTTACAAAATGTTAGTACAAAGTGTACAAAGTTTGCAATGTTTACAAACTTTTTGACAAAGTTCACAAAGTCTTGACAAAGTTTACAAGTGTTTACAAAGTTTTGACAATGTTTTCGCATTTTACAAATTTTTACACAAAGTTTTCGCAGTTTTTACACAGTTTTACAAAGTGTACAAAGTTTTTACAAAGGTTTACGAAGTTTAAAGTGTTTCAGTGTTTAAAAAGTTTACAATTTTAACAACAGTTTACGAAGTTTTGACAAAGTTTGCAAAGTTTTTTCAATCTTTACACAGTTGTTGCAGAGTTTTGAAAGTTTACAAAGTTTTTAGAATTTCACCAAAGTTTCTACAAAGCTTACACAGCTTTTACAAATTTACAAAGTATTTACAAAGTTTACAAAGTATTGACACAGATTGAAAAAGTCCGAAACTTTGTAGAAAGTTTGTAAGCATCAAAAACTTTTGTAAAAGCTTTGTAAAAACGTTCAAACTCAATAACTTGGTAACAACTTTGTAAAATTCCAAAACTTGTTCAAAGCTTGATAAATGTCCAAAGCTTTGTTCAGATATCTAAAGGTTCAATACGTTGTAAAAAATTCGTAGAATTTAATGTACTGTAAGTTTCCAAAGCTTTGTGAAGTTTGTTATATTTTTAAACTTTGTAGACTTTGTTAAAACGTTGTAATGCAAAAACTCGGTAAAAAAAAGTTGTAATTCCAAAACTTTGTCAATTTTTTGTAAGGATCCAAAACTTTGTAAACACTTTGTAGGAAGTTTGTTTGAAGACCTGCGAAAGCTGTTCAAGAAGAGCTGATCTTTGGATCAGTGAGACTGCTTGCATTTTTTTGTTAAAAGAAAAACGGCATTTGGTGCTTGCGCTTTGGGAATTTGTGACTGATGGCTGTAGTGCTTCAGGGTATTGAGGGTGAGAAGAAGGGTCGAATGGTTATTGGTTGTGGAAGTGTTTTAAGACTTGGCCACGGAAACACCAAAACACTTCTTTCATTTTTTCCAAACAACATTGGTGCAAAACACTTCTTGCGAGCAAAGACACTAAACTCAAGCAACTTAACAGTCTGAGTTAACAAAAGATTAACAAGTATAATAGTTGGGAAAAGGATTTGGGGACCTGAGAGTGGAGCCGTGAGCATTCAATACGTCCATCCTCTCACTCCCTTTCGACACGCATCGCCTGAAAGCAAGAGATTAGCCCCTCGGCACATGATCAGCTTCTATGTCATCACAGTCCAAACACTCCATGTACAAGTAGGGCATATATATATAATATACCCTAGCTAGGGATCCAAGTACCTTCTCAGAAGGTGTTTGGGGTGGCTTTGGGTGCCTTCTGAGAAGGTACTTGGATCCCTAGGGATATCTACTTAAATTGGGGTGGTATCGGGGCTCAGGCTCTAGGCTGGCATATATGAACCATACATGGAGCGTCTGTCTGGGTACTCTTTGTGCACAACGAGTCCCATCGGTTGATGTTCTTGTGCATTAGTCTCCACCGATAGATACTCTTAGTCCTTGAAGCCGTCAACTCGGTGAAAGATCTTCCTTAGCTCCCAGAAAGGAGCAGTAATTAGATCTGTTGGTGTCCTCAGAGTCCTCCCTCTTCATGAACCTCCCAGCTCAACAGCGCAGGCGCAAGCAAATCCGACACTTTTCCTCGGCGCGGTCAACACAACTGCCGTCCATCACCACCATCACCGTCATGATCACAGCGCCTGCGAAACGCAGCCCTACTATGAGTGAATTAGGAGGACAGCCTCGAGGTGCCCAAGATCTGAAAGCCTCGAATGGTTCGAACACCTGCAGCAATCGCATGAAAAAACCCTGCAGTACTCGGGAAATCCCCTAATCAAAGAACACCTGCAGCAACATGCTGATGAACTCTTACTCCTGACTTTCAAAATGTTCAAATAACCAGTTGCCCACAAGTTGCCCACAAATGCCTAACACTGGTGCGGAGAAAAAACAAAAAGCATTTCAAGATCTTCAAGCATAACGACATTATGGACTAATATAAGGATGTGTGAAGCTTATTTGGGATGATCAACCTCTTGTAGAGTCTTGATTTCAAGGCACACTCGAGGGGTTCTCCTCCACACACGACATCCATCGCCTTGTGGGGGCGACAGCCATGCGAATGCAGCACGGCGGACAGCCATGAATTACTTAAGCTTGATGAATTGGATCAGGGTCTGTCATCTTGCAGCTCCTCGTGCCGAGTGGTGAGATACATCGGGTGAACACAGTGAACCTTAGCTGAATCATAGATAGATAGATGGATCGATAGATGGATCGATAGATGGATCGATAGATAGATAGATAGATCGATGCTGAAGCCTAACATGCAACCACACTGCTGACCTAAAGGTTAGGTCTCAAGAAGTTGAACTGTTAAACATCCAAGTCACCTCAAATCCACGCACAAAAAACAACACTTCAGTACTCACTTCAGGATAGATCGGCTCAGCTGTTGGCAAGTTTTTGTTTGCCATGCCTACATCGGGTCCTGTAGGCTAAAAGCTGCCTGCTGCACAGGGCCCTTGGCCAGTGGCGGTAAACCACGACAGACCTGGCAAACTTGACTGAAACCATGTGATCTGTCTATTTAAAGAAAATATAGGATCCCGCAGGATCCATAATTAAATTCGTAACACCATAGCCTGTAACATAGCTCAATATCTACCCTAAGGAAGAAGGGTAGAAAAGATCAAAAAAGCGTTGTTCAAAAGAAGTCAGTCAAATGACACGAAGTCTTTGATGCAAATCGGCAGTTGTTGATCATACGACAACAAGAAGATAGGTTTTAAGGATTTTTCACGGCTCCATTCTCTTCAACTTCCATCAGCAAGTCAAGAACTGAGGCCACAGTGCCCTTGAACTTCTCAACCTTGAACCCAGCATGACGAAGGTAACAAGAACATGTGTTTTGAGTTTGAGGCTTGCATATACAAAACACAAATTCACAAGGTCCAAAAGATTCCAGAAGAATCGTTCAAACGTAGCTCCGCGGGGAAGTTAAAAAAAAAAGAAAACGGGCTAGTAGCACGGGCTGCAAACGCGTAATGTTGTTTTTCTCCAAAAGTACGGGGTTAGTATGGGTATCGAGATTCACCCGTTATGTTTTTTTCCCCGCCAGATCCTTAAAGCCATATCCTTTATTGCCAAACAGCACATCACCAAGAAGAAGCTGTATACTTATTAAATTCCTGGTTCTAAGTACATGCAAGTACCAAACGTGTTGTGGAGTCTGGACCTCAGGCACAAAGTGGACCGCCTCAGGCACAAATGGACACCCATTCAGGGCCGATCAAGAAGATTCTTCTAGAATGCCACGAATGAAGGGTTTGTTTTTGCAAACACCCATGTTTTCTGCACCAACGCAGTGTATTGCTTCATGTGAATTCCCAATGGTTGTAGTCGCATTAATTAAGTGTGTAGCAATATATAGATTGCACCCAGTACAGGATCATACACATCACATACTGCGGAAGTGTTCCTTTGGCAGCTGAGGTATTAGGCTTATTAGGCTGCAGCATTCTTGCCATACCGAAACTATCCTTGGAACATCTTTGAACTGTTTGCGGGAGGCTACTTGGCTGCCACAAGTAACAAACAGAGTAACACAAAGCTTGCTTCACCTAAATGGCAGCTGCTTCCTGCACGCACAACCCAGGAGAATGGGGGCCCCAAACACCTGATCAACTCCGGGCAGCCTCCGCAAGTCCCAAGTCCACGGCAGTCCGGGCCAACGCGAACAGCCGCGACAACAAGGGGGCAACGGCCGCTCCGCGACCGCCTGGCCTTCACAAAGACATCATCATCGAGGTGAAGCGACAACAAGGCCACCGTCTGCACGGAGCAGCGTCGCACCTGAAGGGTGGGCGACGCGACGCTGCAGAACACCCACGGTGGCACGACGCAGGGACACCCACAGGGCTTCCACCACCTGGTCAAACCACTCAAATGCTGTAGGAAGGTGGAGGTGCTGTGTGGGCCGTGTAGGAACGTGGTGCTGCAGGATGCCTTCTTATCCTCCACGCTAGTGGATGACGACCACTTCCCTAGACCATTGGCTAGTGCTAGTGGACCAATATATAACCCCGCGGGCCCTACCTCGATACAAATACATATATATATAATATGTATTTATTTATTTATTTATTCATAAATATAGTAACTATATATATATATATAGTATAGACAAAAACATGATGGTCAAACATCTCCATATGATATGGGGTTTAGTATGGTTTAGGATAGTTTAGGTTCTTCAACGACTATAACTTTAACTGTCAACATCAACTGAACTATATTCATCTTTTTCCAGGTACAAACTGCTCAACCAAAATTACTTTGGTGGGCTCCACCCAACTGGCACAAGGCTTGCCCTCTAAGAAAGCCAAGCATGCCGGGGTAGGTTGGAGGCCATCGCTGGGGGAAGAGTCTTGTCTGACTCGGTCTGGTCTCACCCAGCCGCAAGCTAGGCATTCGCATGAAAAACATCGCCTACCTTTCTTCGCCTCGCTGTGCATCATCGGGGTCAAACATGCAACAAAATTCCTACTTTAGTTCGGTGATCCGGAACATAAATTCAGAAATGATCAACAGCCATGTCCAATGAATACTATAGTTGCACCCTAGTTGCACCCGATCAAACTAGGACCCCATGGACCCTGAATGGACCCTGAGAATGGTCCCTTTTTTGTTCGAACATCGTCTATAGAACCCACTGGAAGTGTTCATGTTTGCATTCCATGTTCATCAGGGTTTGGGAGACAAGACAACCCACGCACCTCTGGATCCTTGTCCACTGTGAGCTTCAAGACCAAGCCTAAATCCTGGCGAACGCGCACGAAGGCCGACAAAGATTCCGCGTCGTTGAAAGTGATTGGCCGATCAGCATGTCGTTGTGGCTCACGACAGCCCACATGAAATTCCAAGCGTTTAGTGTTATAGTGACACAGTGCCTATTGCACCAATCTGTGATTTGTTCCAGTCCAAGTGAAACTTATCCCCCCAAAAGATGCGCCACTGATAGTGAAGGCCACGCCGCGCCGGCGCGGGCCTTCTGTGACCGGAGAAGGCTCAGGGTCGTCTGACGATCCAGCATCTCACCCAAAGCCTTCATGCTACAGGCCGCTGACCTGGCCCCGGCTTGGGGTGAGCTATGGGGCGCAGCTTCGTTTAAGCGAAGCAGATCAGCTACAGTAAGGGGGCTCTTCTAGAAAGAACATATCCCTCGAAGCTTGAAGAAGACGCAAAACACATCCAAGCGCTTCCAATGGGCGTCGATCGCAGACTCCTTGGAAGCGTCTGAACTCCAAATGAAAGCAAAAGGACACCTATATGATCCTATATGGCAATGCATCCTTGGGGTCGACTCAGTAATTATAATGGAAGCTGGGAAGTGTCGAGGACAATTTTGGGTGGCTATAATATACCAGGGGAAGCGGTGCATCAACTGACCAATCGGTGAGGAGCTACAGGAGTGGTTCAGCCTGGGCCTAGGTGTCAACACGACATTGGGTTGGGACTTGGGACCTGTATACAGTATACGTGCCATCGGTGCAAATCATCAATCCTAGACGGTGGTTAAAGAATCTCCGTTTGGTGTTCATCTCAAGGCCAGCCACCCGTTATAAAACGGATGGATTTTGTTTAAACAAAAAACGCAACACTCCATTGATTCATGAATGGATAACTCTCAGAAGTCGCCTAATCTCAACTGACGCATCGCCTGCAGCTCCTTGCGATTAGTATCGATTTCTTAAGCCCTTTAGTAGCAAAAACTGCCGGGGGAAGTGGGACAGCTTCCAGATTCTCCAAATCTGCTGAGAATGGACCAATCATTGGTCACACCGGTGGACCTATATGGTACTGTACAGATCAAACCCACACTTGACTTCTGCCAGCGTATACCAGCGTAAAAAACCCGGTCGCGTCCCCTCTTCCGGGCCTCTTGCTTTTGGAGCACAAGCCATGAAGGATCATGGGCAGCATCTTGGTCCGAGGAGCCAAGATGCTGCAAAACCTGCGCGCACGTAACGCCGTGTGTGTTTGCTGCGGTGCTGCACACCGCCGCCCCGGCGGCGGACCCTATGGTTCGCCTGCCAGGCGACGTCAAAAAGGTATGCGGCTTCAAGCAGCCGGACGTCCGTGCTCCAAGCAAGTTCTACACATCTATCTACCTGGCCCTTTCAATTCCAAGTCCAATATGAATATAAGTAGTGACCTAGAGTGCTTCCGGCCAGGTGACCCCGGACGGAAACTGCTGGTACAAACTCTGACTTTCTTCCCAGCAACTTTCAGAGCTCCCCAGTTTCACTGCAGCACACCCCTCTGGCCCTACAGGAGCGATGTTTAACGCGCCTCAGGAGCTCCTGCATGGTCTCGCGAATGGCCAGGATGTTGTGCCCTGGCGACGTCGACGCGAAGGTCGCAAGAATGGCGCTGCTCTCGTCCAACCATGCGCAAGTGCAAGCCGTGGGACGCTGGAAGACTCTTTGTTTCTACAAAGATCTACAAGGCGTTGTTCAGCTTCCGCCTGGGAACTGCAGGGATCACTTGGTTTCAAGAGGGAAACTAGCTGACGATTGGATCAAGTTGCTAACATGGGTTTTCGCCCTCCTGAATGAACAGCCGTGCCACATGCTGCATATTTGGTTGTTTTTCATGAGCAATGAAGAACCACCACCTGCACCTCTTTCACCCGGCACATCAGGAATTCCAAAGCGACGAAAGCGAGGCATCCTAGTCGTATAGCATCTGACTTCATCATGCAAGACAAAGTCGGATGGGCTGTGAAGGTCTGAAGCGCCCAACTCCATCACATAGTAGCTTCTTGCTCCTAGTAGTACAGCCAGGAGCCCTGTTCGTAGCGTCCTTGCTCCGTTCGTAGCGATGCCAGGAGCCCCGTTCGTAGCTTCTTGCTAGTAAGAATGCTCCTCATGCTGAAAGCCTTCATTCTTTCGTGTTCAGGTCTTTCACCCTACCGCGAGGCCGGAAGCTTGTGACACGTGCATCTCTCTACCCAGCGTCTGGGCTCCAAAGAATTCTGTATACTTTTTCCAGGGGATCCAAATCTATAGCTGTCAACCAATGGATCCAAAGCTCACCCACATAGAAACATATGATATCATATATAATCAACTCAAATAAGAAACTCCAGTTCATCCACTTGGTATTCTATCTGATTCATGGTATACTATCGCATTCATGGTATACTCAAAACCGGCCGCTTTCGGCCCGAACCGAACCGGCCTGATCGTTCCACGATGTTGGGCACCAGGATCTGCGTCTCCCGGTCCGTCAGCGCCAGGTCATGGCCTGGTCGACCGACCCAACGAACTCGAGCGACGAGTCCAACGGCGGTGGCGTCGACGAATCCATCGGACGCGAACGATGCTGTGTGCGTGCGTTGGCGTGCGTTGGCGTGCGTGCCATGGGAGTCTGAGCTGGTGCCATGATGTGCCATGATATGAAAGCTCCACGTGTGAAACGCCGAGACTCTCCGAGACATTCTCCCAAATCCTGGGGGAAAAAAAAACAATGAACACGACCCTTCAACACACTTTGCGACATTCTGTGCCAGTCATCCTGTACCAGAATACAGTACCTCTCCGCGGTTTGAAGCGAATTCTGGAACGGTGCCTCCGAAGGCGGTGCACTCGCTGAAATCATCACCCAAACACACCCAGACCTCCTCAGAAGGTATGACTGGAGCCCTAGGGTATATAATTGCAAGTGGTAGGGCAGCAGATCATGGCTACGTCGAAGGCATGACGCCGAGTTCGGATGACCAAGCAATCTGAAGAGCAGTCCCAGGTGGTGCTTTTTTCACTCCACGAAATGATGGAACACGCAAAAGGAGAGTACTTCCAACATGGGTCTTCAAAGTCTCTCCAACATGGGTCTTCAACATCTCTACTTCCAACATGGGTCTTCAAAGTCTCCCCATATGGCAGGGATAGGTGCCACCAACCCAAACCTCACATGAATGGCAGTGTCTATTTTTGAAAAGCCGATCAAAGAGATGAACCAATTCGGTGTCATGGGGTGCCCATTGACCCCACGGTACCCAAAGAGAACTTCTAGTGGTCCCCCAAAAGATAGTGGCGCGGTTTGTACTGTAATATACATTCTTGGTAAGTGGGTATCTACTTTTCTATCTATATGGTGATCACTATATGAATCTGTATGCATACACACACATATCCTTGGCATGGCTGCTCTCTTGTTTTGCCACATCTATACATCTACGTCTCCCTCGGGCGCAAACAAAAAAAAGAAGCACCCTGCTGCTGCCCAGAAGCTTTCAAGAGTCCGCAGAAGAGCTAGTAAGACATCCAGAATCGACTTCCACACCTGCCACTGCCCACGACTCGGCTGAATAACATCGAACGAACCGAGCTCTTCGAAGCTGCGTGTTGTTTGTTTGGTGTGCGGCCAACACATGAAAACCACCGGACCCTCCATCCAAAACTGGCATGTGGAAGGCGCTTGACACTGAACCTGCTGAACCTGCACCTCTGGCGAAAAAGAAGGAACCAACTGAACTCAATGCTTCAGAAAGCCGCCTTGGCCAAGCAGCTCTGGGGGTGAACCTTTCACAGAATTTGCTCGAACGGTGGAACGCGCCCACGGTTCGCCCCACGCAGACCGGAAGAAAGGCGTGCCTTGGTATTGGCGTGCCACAACATCCTGAGGTGCCAAGTGGATGGAGTCGAAGACCGACAGGTCACCAGCCACCTTTGACCAGCCTGTAAGTGACCAAACCAACCAGTGGGATCAAGTGAGGTCACTGGGAAGATCCAGGTGTTTTTTGGAAGGACTGAGCTGAAAAAGAAGGAGTGGTCAAACAGCTCATTGACCCTCCACTCCGATTGAAGCAACACGCGGACACGGCTGAAGCTTCATGATTCTTCTTTCACCTTCATCCTCACTCTCTGCTGGTTGGTGATTTGAACTCACGTGCGAAACCTAAGAATATATTTGTCAGTGGGTTCAATCATCTCAAGTAATGCTTGAACATAAGGAAACCTGTCTGACACCACCACCTATACTCGGGCTTTATCTCTCTCTGACCTCTGCCCAACCCAATAGGTGTGATGCTCTCCTCCAAAAAGCCGCTAGACTCGATGCCCCCGTCCCAACAAACCCGCACCCTCCGCGCGCGCCATTTAAGCTTAGCGCGCGCTTAAGGGCGCGGTTTCTCGCTGGCAGAACGACGTTGGACGCTTTGCCCAGCGTCCAGGTCAGCCATTTCAAGACCATGTCCAAAACATCTGCTTCCTGACATCTTCGGCCGAACCGCTCCGCTCCGCGCGCACCGGTCGGTCCACCGGTCCGGGACGAGCGGGGTTCGCACCGAGATCGGTTTTTCGGTGCCGGTCAGCCCGACAAACAGGAGTGGCATGAGGGGTTCCAAGCGGAGACGTTGTCAGGTGCTTCAACCACCATCATTGATTTACTTTGGCAAGTAACTGGAGCTCCAGAAAAAGTTGATACACAACCCTAGCAAGTGGGAAACAGGATGATTAATCAATATTGAGATGATCAAGGGGGACATAGACCATCATAGACCTATGGGCCTACGGGTGAAGGGTCTTTGATGGTCTTACTTTTGGTGCCGCTCTACCCTTCTAGTGCAAACAAGTCGTCGATCGCCTGAGGTCATACGATCGACTGGTGACCGCTGTGTGGATCTTGTCAGCCAGCTGGGCTGAATGAGACAACCTGACAGGAGAAACTTCTTTGCGCCCGTTCACGCTCCGTTCACAGCCCGATCTGACCCCTCAGAATGTAGGACTTGCTTCGACCCCAAACCCCTTTAGAGGATTCGGGTTCCGGGTCGCATCTGCGTGATGTGCTTTTGAGATCCTTTCGATTGATTTCAGGACGAACGGTGTGAAGCCACCTCGGCACCCCGGCACAGGGCCCGGCGTATACCGTATACATGATGTGCAAAGGCCTTTCCTCTTCCCTCTTTCAGGGGCTCCTGTAAAAGAGAAAAGATCCGGGAGCTCTCCCTAAGCACCCAACATCAACCACTCAAGCTGAACTAAGTGCAGTTCCAGGATGAGATGTCCATAGTCCTCCGCCTGGCAGGTTTGGGTGCCAAGTGCCGGACTTCTTCAACGTCTTTGCTGATTCCGGTATCAGTTTCAGGTGGTCAAACACTGAAAAAAATATGACTAGGTGGCCTAGCTGTGCAAAAAGTCTACCACAAAGATACTCTTGGAAGCAAGTCACTGGAAAACATGATGCATCACCAATGGCTGGTGAAACAAATCAACCAGCCAAGTGGGCAAAACAGAATATCAACGAAAGGGGAGAATGGGTCAGGTGGGAGACGGGCTGGAGAGCCATGGACATAGACCAAACACTTTTTGGGCCAGGGCTTCTCCCCTATTCCAATGCACAGCCCACATGGTGACGTTTCCGGTCCGCGACGGATCGCGGCTCAGCGTTCGATTGGAGAGAGACCCGCTCCTGCTTCTGCCAGTGGGAAAGGCCAGCCAACTGCTCCTCCAAACCTGAAGTGCACTGTCTGGAACTGAAGATGCAAGTGGAAAATACCGTACCTTTGGTATAGGAAAGCAACTATCCCCTACAATCTACAAGCAAAAGGCTTTCCACTTCCAGGTTGGCTCCAAGGAGAGTAAAAGCACACAAGTCTATATAAGGTGAGAAACAGGCAGCACACTCCCTGGCCTCATCATTACTTGGATGAGCCTGAAATTCGAAGAACAAACAGGTGGTGGGATGACCAACACACCAGGGTGGCTTTCACCATTCAGCTCCTGAGCCTCGTCATCGCGAAACTGCCCTCAAAGCAGTGGTTCCCCTACATATAGAGCCCCAAATACATGGGGAAATCAGTAGATCCCTAAAAATTATCTCGGAATCCGTGCGTCTCCTCTCTGGGGATCACTCGTCTACACCCCCACATCCCGACACCACGACCCACGTCCGCCACGTACCGAGGCACGGTCTGAGAACATCTGTCGCCAGAGCCACTCCTCCACGCAGCTGCGCCATTGCTCCCGCAAGGCGCTGAGATGATCCGACGGAATCGTCTCGGGACCTCGGAACAGGGTCGGTCGGAAAAGGTGTGTTTTTTGTTTCAAATGGAACGTTCGAACATCGAACTGCAGTGAAGAATACATCTGTCGATTCCTCATAAGATTAGAGGTCTTCGGGTAGAGAGATGGTCCTAATTTAGAAAAAAACATAAAATATAGGACATATCCGATGGGGAGAACATCATGGTGGTGTCTGTTGCGCTAGTTGCTGAATTAGATGTGTTTATCTTATGAGCCTGAGATGTGGTCTGAAAAGGAGTGCGCAGTTTATCCCTGAGTTATAAAGCACCTAGACCCCTAGACCTTTGTAGTGCCGTGTGATATTCAAAAAAATCACCATTCAGCATACGGCCAAGGTGCCCCAATATTGGCTCTTCTCCTTCTGCTGCCGAGCCTGTCGGCGGTATGCACATTCGATGGATGTGGGAGACGAAGCGGTGGGAAGTTCGAGCGCTAAATGTAACAAGTTCCCCCGGTCTTTTCCAACACATGGTTATACATGGTTCACACCTTTAAGAGGAAGAACAGGAGCAGCAAAAAGAAGCTCTGTAGGGTCTCGCTTTGTTGGCAAAGTCGTTTTGGTATGTTGGATTCAACTTTGTGTCAAGCAAGTGATTGTTTCTAGCGGGCCCAAAGAAGGGACGGACCACTTCGGATGAGCGCGGAGCCAACCGAAGCACCTCCGCTCCCTTGAGTCGCCCCATCCTCAAGCCAAGCAGATAGAACCTGACTCCCGAGCCAAGGATCCCTGGAAAACAAGGTGAACCGCTGAACCGCACGGAACAAGGTGTGCCGTCTCGGTAAAAAATCCGGCTGCCTGACACTCGGGTCGGAGCAGTGTCAAATGGACAGAATTCACAAAAGGAAAGGACACATAGGGTATATACAGTATATTATACTATTGAGTGGGGACATCAACCCCCCAAAAAGCTTACAACCAAATACTAAAAGGTCCTCCACTGCCTGGGCAGGGAACTCTCCGCCTCGCCTCGGGTGCGGTCCGGTTCGATGGATTCGGTCCCCCAACGGTTCCTGCCCGTGGCCTGCTTCGGCAAACGTGGCAAAGCAATCTGGAAAGGAACCACGCCTCGGAGACGGCACGATCGGGACCGCTATATTGTGACACGAACGGGGGCATCGCGACCGAACGGGGCGCTCTTGGCCTTCTGACTAGTAACAAGAAGCTATACTAGTAACAAGAAGCGTCTAGTCTATTCTACTCTAGTAGCACTAAGAGTGGGAACCACTAGTAGCTTCTTGTTCCATTATTAGTAGTAATGCCAGGAGCTACTAGTACAGTAGCTTCTTGTTATAGTAACTATGGCTCGGAGACTTGGAATCAAGGAGATTTCGACCTACCCATCAGGATCAAAGGCCTACGATAGGAGGACTTTGGTTTTCAAGTCTCCTCCAAACTATATACGGTATATAACATTATAAATGTTATATTATATGTAAATACATCCGTTAATAAACAAACAAGCCCTGTGGGGGGAAACTAACCTTCCATTATCCTAAATCCACAGCTTCTATGTTGGTCTGAAGGGGTGCATTTCTGTGCAACAACTTCAGCTTTTGACACTCTCTGCCTGGCTAAACCTCCCCACACACACACACACACGCACGAAACAAAACCTTGGAAGAATAAAGCTGCGGGCATTCAACAATGTTTTGCCAACCTTGGACCACTGGAAAGGGTGTGTCGACCTATGATCAAAGAATTGGACCATTTGAAACAAAGTGCATATCAATCAGTCGAGAGCAGGGTCACAGTGTCCCGGCACCTTCACTCAATGACGAGGGAGGAAAATACACTCATCATCACTCATCCAATGCACAATAAATAACCATCTTCTGTAAACTCTCCATCCGGCCCCGTGCTCCAAAGTCACCATGTCGCTGATCACTGTGCAACCAAAGCAGGACCATGTCTAGGCCTGCAAAAACCCATCTCAACTAAACCATTCTATTCACGGATGTCTCGTGTCTCTCGAGCATTCCTTGGAAGCCGTGCTTTCGCCAAGCATGCTGTCCCCATCCTGTCAGACCGTGCTTCGGACTGCAATTGACCAGCACGGTAGCACACAGTCAGCAATTGACCAGCTTCAATAGGATACAAAGTCACACACACACACACACACGTGTTAGGAGGCCTTGACTTCACTCATAATGACATTATATCAGACACGAATCAAACACGAGCACCTCTAAATTCATAGCTGCAGGGCCAAATCCACCATACCTCATCAATCCTCATCATTAATCCCAACTCTCTCTCTCTCTCTCTTTCTCTCTCCCCGCTTCGCGCGAACGTTCATCTACCCCCCAACCTCTGCGCGACGTCCGCGCGAGGTCCCAAAATCCTACGCCTGCATGAGGTAGCTGGGCGTGTAGGAGATAGGCCGCCTGCCGAGTTTCTCGGTGTGGCCGAAATGCAAAGTGCCAGATTATAGGGTTCCTTTCCCTTGACAACTCCAAGAGTTTAGGCCCAGGCATTTGGCTAAAGGCGAGCTTGGGGGTGGGTTGATGTCTGGGGGAGTGGGTAGGATGTCTGGATGGGTTCCCTTGCTGCTAGCGATGGCCTCCAACCTGCTGTACTTGCGATGGCCTCCACCTAATAGCATCCTTGAATCTATGTCTCAATCTACCATCTACATTGGACACTCCAGGTGTCGCGTCCTTCAGCCCATGAGACACGGTCTTGTGAGCTTTGACATGTTTTGCCCATGCTTTGAGTGGCCAGTGTTGTTTCCTTCTCCACATTCCAAAGAATATATCGAAGATACCTGGAGCGTCCTCAGCATCCGGTGTTCAAGGGGCTGGAGAACAACCCACGACAGCAACTCACAAGGCGTGGTTGGGGCATGTGTGTTTCTGCGCCCGACAAAAACCGGCTTTGACGCCTCGATGTGTAGTGCTTGCAAGTCCCCAGGTCCGAACAACGAATGGGGCAGCGACTGTTTAAGAGTCGTTGGAGTAGTTATGTTGCTTGGTTTAGCTAGGAGGGCTAGGAGGTCTAGGAAGAAGAGCCTTGCTCCCAGCTGGAGTCTGCCCCAATCTGATGCTAAACCAGAATCACAAAGAAACATCATGCCACAAATAGTTCTTGTATGTTCTTGTATCGTATGGCGGTCGGTCAGAATCAGCGTGGAGTGCTGAACTTCCGAAACAGGAACTGTAGAGAGTCACCAGGAATATAGGAAAGCCGTGGTACTTAATCACTACAAGTATTGATTAGTCGCAAGGCCCCATCCAGCATCTGACGACCACATGGAGGCCCTGGAGCAGCATCTGACGACTAGCCTGTACCCCGCGGAATCGGATGCGATCAATCTGCGCCTGGAGGGAGAGGCATGACGAGGAGTCACCGCCAACTGCATGTCGCGGCTCACGCTGCCATCCCGGCGTGGCGTGGGCTCTCGACGGGTCCTGTCAGCAGTTGGAACGAGCTAATCCACGGGTAGCAAACAGGTTTGACATGGATTGGTCCCATATCCCAATTATGAACTGTCCAAGGGGAATGGTGGGTGGACATTGCAAACAATCTCTAGCAAGCTTCACCGTGGCTTTTCAGATGCTTTCAGGCAACACCCACACCTGGTCGGCGTGGGCTCCCGGCGTGTCAACGGCGAAGGCTCCCGGCGTGTCAACGGCGAAGGCTCTCGGCGCAGCAGGGGTGAGGGCTCGCGCCGCGGTGCCAGGCTGGGAGGTGGCCGTGCCACAGGCACCAACGCCCGGCGCGGGGGCGTCGCGTCTCGTAGCTCCCGGCGCAGGGGGCTCTCTCGGCGGGTGGGAGTGTGTTGCTGGCGCAGGCGCGTGGGGCGCGTGGGCGTAGCATCCCGGCCTGGCAAGAGGGGCTGCTTCTTTCGGAGCATTGGAGGGAGTGGAAGTTTGGGGACTGAGCTGCTATCAAGCTTGTGCAACAGTGGTCTACCATGCCCTTTTTTGTGTGGAAAATCGATGGAAATCCACCATTCTCATCCATTCTCCACCTGTTCTTGTGGAGTGAGCTTCTCCCAATCCCAAGAAGGCTCAGGGTTACCCACTGGCTGGGTAGGTCATGTTGCATGCGCTGCATTAGCACTGCGCATGTCTGCATGTACCGTAGCCCGCCTTCGGCTGAAGCGGCACGTCTCGCCAGCCTGATATGAAGCAAGCTATGTGTGCAACCCAATCACCTCTTTCTTGAGGAGGAGGGGCAAAAGTATGCAAAAGTCGTTAAATATACCAGCACCCTCCAACAGGTGCTTCCTGGTGACAAGTCCGGTGCCCAGAAACCACCTGTCAGGGTCTCCAAACAGCCTGGCCAGGAGGGTCCTGGTAGCTGGATGTGGCTCTACTGAACTGCTTTAAACCTCGACGCGCCCCGGGCACAGCTTTCAAAGCCCCTTGAAAAGCAACTGGATGAGCAATGCGACAAACAACCAATGACTGCTGATTGGGAGGGATTTTCAGGTGGCCGGTCACAACGGTGGTCCAACCGCGAGGAGCGGTTGATGTGTCGACTGTTGTCAAAGGACAAAGGACAGAACTCGGACAGAACCACCGGAGCATGAAGCCGAAGGAAAGAACTCATGCACCTGTACCATGGTGTTTCTGGATCGACTGTGCTGAATAGTTTGGGTCTATCCTATTGCCAGTAGCAGTGGATGATCATGATTCAATTGCAGGCCTTGTACAAACATAGTGTTAATTGATGGCCCTTACGTTAAAGGGGGCCCACCTCAAGACCCACAGGAATCATTTTAAATGATTCTGGGGGGGTGTGAGGGGGGTTGGTGATATTGATTCTGACAGTCATCCACGGTCAGGATCATTTCCTGAAATCTGCTGACATTTCCTGACATCTGAACTCTGTACCCAAAGTATTATTGGTATTATCATGTTTAGGTATAATTATGTATTATTGTCGGTGTCCATGTTTTCCCACTGGGTGTCTAAGAATGTGGTGAGTTATGTGATTTTATATGGAAATGACTGGTGTGGAAATGATTCCAGGGCAGGTTGACATCAGAATTGTTTTTTTTTTGATGTTCTTTGAGGGTAGGGGAGTGGTGGTAGATCTTTAGATGTGTTTTAATGTTTTTTCCGGAACCCCAAGAATATCCAAGAATGCCCAGTCTGGGAAATGGACATGGGATCTTTCATGGGTAGTGCCTGGAATGGTAATGTGATGAGATATGTGGAAATGACAGGTGTGTGGAAATGATTCCAGGGGGGGGTTGACATCAGAATGGTGTAAGGGTAAAATCTTGGAGGGGCTGCACTCTGGAAGGTGAGATGTTTAGAGGAAACTCCCATACCCAATCTGGGCAAGGGCAATGGAGCTGGGAATTGCAATTTGTTCCACGATTCCACCATGTCATTCTATTTCCATAGGTATTATAGGTAGTATTATGTATTGTTGTCGGTGTCCAATGTTTTCCCGCTGGGTGTCTAAGAATGTGGTGAGTTATGTGCTTTCATATGGAAATGACTGGTGTGGAAATGATTCCAGGGGGGGTTGACATCAGAATTGGGGTGGTTGCTTTTCTTGCCAAAGCAAGAACCCACATGGCAAAACTGAATAGGTTTGGGAGGCTCAGCCATCAGTTGGTACAAGCGCACACGTTGAAAAAAATGAAATATTGAAGCAATATGCGTTCCCACCTTTTGCATTGGTGCAGAATCTGTTTTAATACTGTTTTCTGTATTTGATGGACTCTCCAATAGAAATCTGATGAAATCTGTACGCTTGAGACTCAGGCGAATGCAATTATGACATTGCAACATGTGAAAATGATTCTGGCACATCGTTCACATCAAGTTAAAAATTAATGAAAATGATTCTGGGGGGGGGTTGACGACCCCCATGAACCCCCCTGTCAAAAAATTATTCCAGAGAAATGATTCTACTTAAATGATTCTGCCCATTGACGTACCCCCTGGAATCATTATTTAGCGTAACCCCCATGTTAATTGTTTACCGGCTTACTTACTGACTGCTACAGGCATATAATATGACAGACCAATTGTATGGTGTTTTTGAAGTCTTGTGGGTCAAAGCTTTGGCTTCACCATTTGTCTATAGGGACTTTGTCCAGCCACACGACCTCCCTAGCACCTACAGGGCTGTGCCGGTGCGACACAAGACCTGCGACCTGCGACCTCCCGGATGGAAAAGAACTCATCAAAAGGACCGCAGCATGTTTGACCATCACCAATCAATTTGTCAATATATAGTTGATTGAGAGTAGATGGCACAGACCCCAAGAGGTGGTTTATATGGACCCCCATCTAAAGGACATCATGGGGTCTGTGCCATCTACTCTGAACCCACTGTAATGATAACTCATTGGTTTTCTGTGCGGAGAAGCATCCACAAGTTTGGTATAAAATAGATTCTTTCAATTCCGCCCACCTGTGAGATGGTCTCTTTGCATCACCCACTGGCCGAGGAAAACACAAACAAAACAGTTCAACAGTTCTTCCTTGGTGCCTGAAATCACCCATTCCGTGGGCCTTGGACCGCGTGCGAAACCTCCGCCTCACTCCACTCCGCACTCCACTCCCCTCCGCCTGGCACCATCCAATTGCGGGCCAGGGGAGGGTGTGTCCACCGGCTCCAGCCGCGGCTCCGCCTTCTCCGACCTCTCGCGCTCCTTGTCCTCAGGTTTCGATGGGCGCAGGAGCCGAGCCGGTCTGGTGTGTGTGGTGCCGATCGATTTCGACCCGGGCTGCGGAGCCGTGACCGGCAAGGGTGTTTGATGTTCAGATGTGACCCGCTTGGGTGTCTGGAAATCCTGATCATGTCCCGGATCCACATACCTTTTGAGAAGGTGATTGGAGATGATTGGAGACTTGTAGGCTTGGAGGGTCCAATTACCTTCTGAGAAGGTATATATGGATCTATAGGGTGTGGAGACCCTGTGCCGCACAGCAGACTTATATGACCCTTCAGACCTCCAAACCCATCACCAAGGTCGAAACAACCCAATTCTCTGCAGGGTGGCAGAAGTGCAGTGCTTGCCACTTGCTTCACCCAGCTGGTATCTTGTAGTGAGCTGGGTGCAGGTCAGAATCCAAGACCCCAAAACATCCCAAAACCACAGAAAGCTTCAGCACATGACCTGTGTCAGGGCCATGTCATGTCATGTCTGGTCCTCCAGTCCATCCAAAACAACACTTGACACACTGTTTGTCTTAACAACAATGACAGCCGCCCAGCATCCATCTCCAACTGCTTCACCTTGCATCGACCCGTTTCTCTCGGGGTCGTGAACCCAGGTTTGGAACATGTGAGACGAAGCAACCATTTCTCTCGGAAGTGAGATTGTGCTGGGACTTTCTTGGGGTGGTGACTGCAGGAGATCTCCTTTCAATCAAAAGCACTCTTCCACTTGAGTGGTTCTTTTCGATTGGTTCTTGGAGTCAGGAGCACTCGATCTTAAAGCAACGGACCATCTGAAGATCTAGTGGAGCATGGCTCCGCTACCTTCCACGAGCAGCGACGTCCTATCGCGCGACGTGACGGCGCCTTGGATCGCAAGTTCCGGATCTCTTCAGCCATTTGCTTAATCAAAGGAGTCGTCCTGGGCAGTGCATTTCAAGCAAATCGGATTATATAGGGGCAGAACGGCATAAAGCAAAGATGGGCAGAACGGCATCAGGCAAAGATGGAACAGGCTTCCATGATTGCCGTTGATGAGCTACCATAGAACTGCTTGCCAAAACCATGAACACGTGATTCTCTCTTCTCCGAATTTCACAGTGACTTCACGGCACCCTGCAGTCCTTACACCACGGCAATCTGCTAGGGTCATGTCCCAAACCGTCCATGTGTGGAATAGTTACCTACCAAATCCTCTGCCTAGATCTCATGTGACTCATGTCTGCCCTTGGCTGTGGTAGTCTCGACACCAAGCTCAAACAATCCGCACAAATGGAATATAGTTTACATTCAGCACAACGACGATGTTTGTCATGTGCCGCCTATATTTATGTAAATTCTTGCGTGACTTGACAATGAGATGGAGCAAACAAGCTGCACAGCTCAGAAAAGACCCTCCACCAAGCTGCTCGATCGGCACATCCGTCTTTTTCGCCTCATCTTTAGACTCTTTGACCTAGGTGGGCACTGGAAGACTCCTGGAAGACCCCAAGAATCCATTGGGTCTTGGGTTTCGCAGTGAAAAATCGGGCACTCTGGAATCACTCCATCTTCATCCATCTTCATCCCCTGCCTCTGGAAGCTGTTGGTTTTCTTTCCCTTCTGCCTTGGGCACCAAGCTCCTCACCTGCGCGAGTGGTTGTTGCAACTCATGCTGCTTTCATAAATTTCAGTCAGTGACTCATGACACATGTCTTCAAAAAACGGCCAACACATGTTTCATGCAGCTGGTGGGAGTGAAAGGGCTCAAACTGTAGCGTTTCGTTCCAATAATTCCTCAACATGCACTGCCTCCACCCCCCCGATACAAAACTTGAAACTCAGCACGCATCAAACACATTGGTCCAACTTCGAAGCACCACAGCTGGAGAAGACACCCGTCCTGCTCTTCCTTCTCTGCTTTTTCGGAGATCGGCTTCCTCGGACGGACGAACGTGCCGGCGGCAACGTGCCGCAACGAACCGACGCGGTCGGCCGTGCAGCGGAGCTGCTCCGTGGCCGTGAGCGGCAAAGGCGAGTCCACCTGGCGAGGCGAGACGCGAGCTCCAAAGACTGACGACTGGAAGACGAGACGTGCAGCATACGTCCTAAGCATTGACGATAGGGGTTTGCGGACCGGTTGGTGGAGAGAAGTCATTGTTTTTGATCTGGGAGAATCTGGGAGCCTATTGTGAACTTCCATGATGATTTCTCAGAAGTGTAAGTGAAGCAGGTTGGAGGCCATCGCTACTAGCTTGGAGGCAAGCTGCTAGTAGGGTTTTAGGCCATCGTTCTTTGGGTTGGAGGCCGTTGGAGGCCATCGCTATTACTTAAGTTTCCCTTTAACGGTGGCATCTGGCAGGTGCACCACGGCGCGAAGCCTTTAAGCGAACTGTCGGCCAGGTGTTTTTGCTTCTTTTTTCCAAAACCTTCCATGGGACTGCCATATTTGTCTACATTAAGGTTGTTGGGGGGGTCAATGTGTGCATACTCTGTGCATATATACATGGAGTGTCTGGGTTTTGTGTGTGTGTTTTGTTTTTTTTTTTCTGTAGCCCTGGAGGCTTTCATGGTGCGAAACACTCAACATTAGTGATGTCTCAACATGAGGTTTTGTGGGGTTGGAAGACAGTAACGCACTCTTGAGGGATTTAAGGCGGGGGTCCTCTATCTGGTGAAGTTTTTTTTCACGTGAAAGAACCTGGTGTCCTACCAATTAGCGTTAGCGAGTGCAGGAGAATGTGGCTTCACCCTTTGTTGAGAACGCTATGTGAAAGAACCATAGCCATAGCCAAGTTCGCGGAGTCCTTCTGTTTATCACACCTGCTTGGCTGGACACCGACCGAAGTATGATGTCAAAGGTGGTCTACGGTACACCTAAATTCCTCCGCACATGGATGAAACATAGAAATTCAAAACGATGATGCCACCCCAAAAGGGGTGGCATAACCACTCCATGTGCCATTGGCTCCCCAAAGCACTCCCCAAAGCACTCTCCATTGGCCCGGTGGAGTGCGGGCCCGGTGGCACCAAAACCCGGGCCCGGTGGGGGATCAGGTTCGGTACGACTGGACGTTTGGGCACCCACATGAAAACCCTAGGGCTCCAGTCGTACCTTCGTTTCGAAGGTGGGACTGGGAGCCCGGGTGCCAGGAGGGTCCAGCCATACTGAACCTGAGGAGGTACGACTGGAGCCCTAGGGAAAGTGTCGAACACATCACCGGACCTCAGAAGGTACGACTGGATCCCTGGGGGCAGCAGTGGTATACCCCTCGCAGACCATCCCCATCAACCCTGACAAGGAAAACCCGCGGTGGAAGACCAACCGGTTTTTGGGGGTTCCATCTTCATCTGCCGGGGAGTAGTGCTGATACAAAGCGCTTCACCCAAAAACAAACATATTGAACAACATACTTGGTGATACCGAGCACTTCACTGCTGGTTGATTTTCATTGTCAAACCATTGAGTAGTCGCGAGATCTGCTCCTTTCCTTTTTTGCTGCATTTCGACCACCCCTTTCAGCCATCATTGTGTTTTAGAAGGGACGGAACCACATGGACCAACAAAACAAACACACCAACACACCTCACCCCAAACAAGCCCGAGGTCTGTTTTCGTTGGGCCCTTTAGCAGCATCTCCCAGCCCTTCCCCTGCTCGGCGCACTGGCACCGCATGCAGGCGCTGCTTCAAGGGGCTTCGGCGCAACGGTGGGGAGAGCGGCGTGGGCGTGCCGGGCCGCTCGCCCGGCCGTTCAGGCAAAGGCTCCTGTGGAGCTGACTCAGCAGATTCAGAACGGCAGAGCTCGGTGCAAACCATGTCATGCATCTGCTGCTACAGTGCGAAAGCTATGACACATTTATGATGGTTTATAAATGCAACACTCGAACCATTTGGTCCAAACTGTCTAAACGTCGTGCAAGCCAAATAAAAAATGACTCACAAAACATTTGCATCCATCACAGTCAAGCATTGAACTCCAAGTCAATGAAAACAACATAAAGCAATTTATCCGTGCTTTTTTCGTCGGGCAGCGCACCAGGGCTTTGAGACAAACATGACAGTACCCTACATTCCAGTGCTGGAACTCCTGGTGCGTGTGCCTCCTGTCTCCCATGGATGTACTGGAGAAAAAACACCAGTGCTTACTATTTGATGATGGAGTTAGGAGACCTCCAGCTTTTATCACCTGTCACGGAGGTCTCCAACAGCCCAACATTGAACCGTAACAACCAGGTCGCCCGGGGGCGTCGCATTCCCACCGCCGGATCCATGTGTTTGTTCATTTCCGTTTCAAGAACTGGGAAGGTTTCACCTTGCCCAAGGAGCGGCGCCAAACAAACTGAATCGATGAAGTGAAGAAGTGAATCGATGACGTGACGAACGGATCCACTAAAAGGAACGGCTGTAAAGGAGTTGGAAAGTCAAAACGAGCTAAACTTGGATAACAATCGAACGCCAACCGCAACAACACCACACTACACAGACCTAAAACTGCATCCGAATAAATGAAGCCAACGCTTGCAGGACACTGAACAATGAAACCACAACACCCGTCTCGTTTCTGCTCGCTAAAATGAAACCAACGCAACCAACTTTCGATCGTAGCTACCGCCCCACCCCCTGACACAACTTTCGAACGTAGATAACAACGTACGCCTATACTCAATTTTGTGTGTATCGCTCTCCCCAGTCTCTCTGCGGGTAAACCACAAAAAACAGTGCAAATACCAGAAACAGATTATGCAAAACGCTATAAAACACCCACGCGACCTGCAAAACCGCTTGCATCAACCTCGCATGGCGACCAGTCTGCAACTGGGCTTTCTTCAACCCCAAAAGCACAAACCTCGCCAGACGCCTCGCTCCTTGCAGAGCTTCCGGTGCTCCTCCTCGAAAACGGCGCGCCGGTGCGGCGGCACGCGGTCCAGGACCGTGAAGGCCGCCTGGGCCGAGGACGACAGCGAGGGAGGTTGCAAGAGCGGCGCCAGCGGAATCGAGTTGGGCCCAACGGCGAGCACAAGCCAGCGGAATCGAAATTCCCAGCATCTGGAGCAGTTGAGAAAGCGTTTTTCTGAAGGGGTAAATGCCTTCTGAACAAGGCATGGCATGTGGATGCCGGATATAGGAATCATCGTTGAACGATCCTGTGATGCCAAAGGGTCGTCGTCCATCTCCTTTTCTTGTTTCGAGGGTTCCTTTTGCACCCAGCGGTTCAAGAAAAACTTAATACTGTACCACCTGGAATGCCAAGGCATTGTTTTTGCAAAAACACACAACACCACATGTTTTTTGCATGTGCCAGGGCGCCATTCATAGGGGGTGTCCATTCATAGCCCCCCAAAAGAGAATTCATCCTGATCAGTCACAGAGTTGTCTTCCAGTCACAACTTCCACCGAACATTTTTACCCTTCACCGCCACCTCGGGATTCTGTGTGATCAGCTTGGAGAGGGCTTTCGCCTAGGCACGGGAAGAAGGGCGAAGCACTGAAGCGCCCAAGGCGCTCCGTTCACAGCCAGATCTGGTGCGACGCCGGACCCCTCCCCTTCAGAGGGTCCAGGGCCTCATCTGGATGAGAGGGGGGCCTACTTCAAAAGGGCTTTCAAGCAATGGGCTCCACCGAACGGCCCATTCCGAACAGGTGTCCAGTTTGGAGATCGTAGGGCGGCTCTGAGGTCGGAAGGTGGCAGGGTTTGGGCTGAAACCCCTCCAAGTCGTCCGATGTGGTCTCCTCTTGGCTGTGAGGGAGGGCTTGGGAAGGCTTGAATCTTCAACTTCAGTCACCCAACTTACGCCCACATCAAACCTGAAAGCCATTGGGTTGTAAAGGAAAGTCGTCTTGCTTGCAGGTCCATTTTCAGGTTCCATGTGGGTCTCTTCCCGGGTGTGCTTGGTGAACCGTGGGGCGATCGTTCGGAAGGGTGGATGCCAGCGGGTTCTACCGGCCTTGATAGGCTGTACCCCCTTAAAGCTTGCCAACTTCTAGAGGCTTGGACGACTTTCAAGGCCTCAAAACACCAGTCATCATGAGACATCCAGGTTTTGCAATGTTTTGCATATCATCCCATAGACTCCCAAAAAGGCCCTGGCCGGCGCCAATGACGCCTGCCAGGCGTCATTTGTCTTCTGTAAGGGCCTGAAAATCCGGCACTTCTTCCTGCTGCTCTGCACACCGGATAGTTGCTACAGCGACGTCCTCCATCCTTTGGACGGTCCGTTCCAGCGATGTCCTGCGATGTGCTCTCCATCGCCTTCGAGATCTTCGAGTTCAGCGAAGCTTGCAGCGAGCTGGTTCTGGATTGTTCACTTTTTATCTGTTTGGTGGTGCTTCCTGACGCGGAAGCGTGTCCGACCAAACAGGTGATTTGAGGCAAGTCTTGCCGGGGCGTTTTTTTTGTGGAAACCGGTGAAACAAACCCACAGGCCAATGTGGTCAAGGTGCCGCTTCTTGACGCACCAAGTGGTCTGAGTCATCAATGAGGGGCAAAGTGAGCGTTGAGCTGGCAGCAAAGAAGCCTTGTGTCAGTCAGGCTTGTACATGTTCGTGATTGTATGAATGTATGAATGTATGTGTGACATGTGTATGTATGTATGAATGCATGAATGTAGGTATGTATATATGTATGTATCTATCTATCTATCTACCGCCCTATCTATCTATCTATCTATATATATATCAATCTATGTGTATGTATGTATATTATATATACAATATATCTAACATGTATGTGCATATATTAATATGCATAAATACAGTATAAATATATATATATATATGTGATATAATGATGTATGTCTATATGTATGCCTATGCCATACCAAGCATGCGGAGCAATTGCAGGACCCTTTGAGGCCATGTTTGCATCGGCATCCCACGGGCATGGCCTCACTAGGGGGGCTAGACAGTTGGAAAAAAAACACAGAAACCTATAGAAACCTCTTTCTGATGTCTTTCGTTGTCTTTCAGTCCAACTTGCCTTCAGATTCTTTCTGATGTTGTCATTCATTTCTGTCTGATTCTTTCATGATTCTTACTGGGCCGTCATTCCATCTCCTCTCCCCTCTGTGCTTTCACCTGAACCAAGCATAACCAAGCTGCGTTGGGCCGCATCCGGATGTACCTCCAGAACCTGCAGGTGCGTTGGCGAACACAAACGGCACGGTTTTCATATACCCAAATGCGACCTGTCTGGGACTGCTATCTTTGCCGAGATGTCTGGCCAGGGGTGGTTCATTTGGGGGGGGGTGTACGCATATGTGGCATATGTGGCAGTGCCATGGGTCGTGTCTGGGATAGTTTGTTCTTGAATTTAGTAGGAACACTGCATCAAAACACAGAATCCATCAAAATCGTAAGTGTTCAGAACCGTATTTAGATTTATACACAAAATTCCATCTATGTTGGGGCCCGTACACGTGTTCCGAACGTTTCATTCGTAGATTGACGACTGCATGCGAGTAGTTTTGAGTGGGACCCAGGACCCATAGGACCCACAACCGGTGTTTTGTTCATGAACCAGCTGGCTTTTTGGATTTTTTGGGGTGGTCACAGCGCACAACCCGAGCAGATTGTGAGTGAGTTTTCCGAACCACGTTCCATGAACGTGTGAGGAATCTGGAGGTAGTAGCAGCAAGAGGGTACTAGTAGCGATGCCCTTGTTACTAGTAGCTTCTAGATGCTAGTAGTATCAATGCAAGGTGAGTCCCAACATGACAGTGGCCCCGCAATGGCGACCAATGCCGCCTGCGGAAGTTCCAAGGCCCTCATCAGCAAATTCAAGGCCTCCTTCTTCACGAAAAGGCCTTGAAAAACAACTTCAATAACTACCTGCACCTTCGTAAGAAAAGGCCTCCTAAAGAGTCTGAGTCGAATGATATACCTTCTGAACAAATCTTGGTTCTGTGGAGGCTAGCCGAGATAGCTCCTATCTTGGAGAGATATGATAGCCTGCAGTCTCAAGAGCGTGGGGGGATCCTTCTCAGCCACAAATTGAGCCTTGGAGATTGTCGTTC